GGTCAGCCTTCTCTGGGAAAACAGCTGCTGGGCTCTGGTGCTGACAGACAGGCGTCTTTCCCCACCAAGGCTCTGTCCTGTCACTGCCCCGTCTGGAGCCTTGATTTCCCACCAGAGTTTGCGGAGGGGCCTATTCCGTTGACCCACCCGACCCACCTCGCAGATGTCTGGCCTGCTCCTCAGGCTTGGAGCAGACACAGTTCTCCTCCCCTTTTCCTCTCCTTCATCTCACTCACTGATAAATTTTTAAATTCTGGCTCACTTAACTTTCAGGGCTTTGGACAAGCCTGGGCCTCAGGTTCTTCATTTGTAAAAAAAAAAAAAAAGAAAGAAAGAAAAAGAAAAGGAGGTGGAAATAGATAATTTGCAAATTTTCTTTCAGCCTTGAAATGCAAAATTGTGTCACTCTCCTGCTTAAAAAATCTCAGTGCTTCCCACTGCCTAGCAAAGCCCTAATTCCCTAGGATAGCATCCAGGGCCTGGGCTACCTTCTGGCCTCATCCATCACTCTTCGGTTTCACGTACCTTAAGCGTCAGCCAAACCGCACCACTCGAAAATCCCAAAGCACGATGGGTTCTCCACCTCTGGGTTCTTTGTTAATGGGTTGCCTCCCAGTAGACGCCTTCCCCGGTCATCTCCCCACACTCAGTCTTGCCTTTCATCAAGTCATAGCTCAAGTGCCACGGGCTTTCCAAAGCTGGCCCTGGCTTTTCCCGTGGGCCAATCATCCCTGCTCTCTTGATTTCTTTAGTAGCACTTCATCTGCATTTGCTTAAGCTACGTGGCCTTCTTTCCTTCTATTATAATCACCTGCACATATCTGATTCCTTTGACCAACGGCTTTTAAGGTCAGAAACAATGTCTTACCTCTCTCTCTGTAACCCTAGCGAATCCAGTATTCCACTGGGCTCGGTCTCCGCCTGGTGTCTCTCCGAGTGAGCATCTCTCAAAGAACATTAGGGCCTTCAACATGAGGAACACGCCCCCAAACCCTTCCTTCACTTCCCAAATGACCTGAAGCCATCAAGAGCTCTACAACAAAACCCTACGCTCTTTCTCTAGATCTAGTCCCCAGGCCTTTTATTTCCCTTCCCCAGCTTCCCTTAGTTCTCTCTCTTAGTTCTTAGGTAGATCAACGTAGTTTCTCCAGCTAAGACCTCTCTCCTTATCCTCCTTCTGTCTTGCAGAGTGGGATTTTCTTTATTTTATTATTTTTTTTAAAGATTTTTTATTTGACAGAGAGACAGCGAGAGAGGGACCACAAGCAGGGGGAGTGGGGGAGGAAGAAGCAGGCTTCCCGCGGAGCAGGAGCAGGGAGCCCGATGCGGGGCTCGATCCCAGGACCCTGGGATCATGACCTGAGCCGAAGGCAGATGCTTAACGACTGAGCCACCCAGGCGCCCCTGGTGCCTGGAAACTGGGAAGGAAACCGGGAAGACTTTGATGTGGTAGTAGTTTACCCCTCACACACGTATCTACTACAAAATGCCTGCTCCTAGGAGCCCCAAAGAATGCTCATGAGTGAATGAATGATCAGGATAATCAGCTCACATTCATGATGAAGACCATACTCTACTTCTCTGCTTCCCAGTATTTCGTAGACCGAGCCACTGTAATGGGTTGCCTGGATTTGCTACAGCCTTCGGAGTCTCGTGTCCCGAGAGTCCCTAGATCTTTAAAAAACGTACCTAATATCACTTCACTCCCCTGCTTGCAACCCTCCAATGGTTTCCCGCCACATTATAACTGAATTCCAGCTCCTCACCCTGTCTTGTAAAGCCCGTCATGACCCTATGACCCAACCCCCGCCTACCCCAGACATCCCCTCGCGTGCCCTTCCCCCCTTGCTCGTCAGGTTCCCGCTGCCTGGAACTCTTTCCGTGCCTTTGCACCACTGTGTCCTCTGGCTGAGTGCTCTTACTCATGATCTTCACAGGACCAACTCCTTCCTGTCCTTCAAACTTCACCATGTGTGTCACCTCCACCGAGGCCCTCCATGGCCTCCTGGTCTAGAGCACCTTCCCCCAAACACAATCTCATCCCCTTTCCTTGTTTTCCTTATGTTCTATTCAGCCCCTATTGCTGCATGACACACTGGCCTGAAACTATTTATTATTAATGTATCTCATAATTCTGTGGGCCAGGAAATCAAACAGGGCACGGTGGGTATGGCTCTTCTCTGCTCCATGGGGTCTGGAGCCTCAGCTGTGGGGACTATGATGGCTGGAGCTAGAAGAGCTGTGGGCCAGCTGAGCTCACTCACTCTTGCTCGCACAGGCTCTCTCCACCTTTATATGGCAGCTTGGGCTTCCTTCCAGCATGGTGGCCTTGCATAACTGGACTTCTTATGTGGCAGCTCAGTCTCCCAAGAGACCGAGGCAGAAGCTGCCAGTCTGCTCAGAAGGAACCATTTTGGGTCTTTTCCACCTTAGGGAGAAGACCCAGGTCAACTCAGATTCAGAGGGAGGGAACAGAGACCTTACCCCTCGAGGAATGTAATGTCAAAGAATTCAAGGCCATCTCTAATATGCCAGAGCCACATTTTGGCAAGAAGACCTTTTCTTATTAATTTCTTTGTTTACACGTGTAACTTGCTCATTGAGCAAATGGTGGGTATAAAACAAACTAGTTTTTTTCTCTCATCATGGTTTCTAGATGAACTATGTTGATTGTCCTTTTCCTGTCTCCTAATAGCATTTTGGGGAGACTTTCTAATTTTCCTGTCACTTTAATTTAGGAAAGGTCCAGCCCCATCTAGGCTGCTCTGCCCAATTGAAGACTGATCCCCTTTGCTCCCCCAGGCAGGGCCTGGATTGGGCCCAAGGGAGTGGGGAGGGCGCGGCCGGCTCTTGTACCCACCTTGCCCTCCCTGCGGCTCCCTTCTGTTCTTTCGCATGGGGTCAGGAAGGAGTGACTTGGGGAAAGGACTACTCAGCTGTGGCCATGTCTTCTCCGGCTGTGAATGCAGCTACTATGATGGGCATCTGGAGGCCAACTCTGTTGTGGGGCACAACGCTGGGCACCCCACAGCACTGCTCCCTGATGTGCTCGCCTTCCAGCTCTATATTGACAGCCCCCACTCAGTGATTGCCCTAACCCTCCACCCACAGCCCACAGCCTCCTCACCAGTGGGTTTTCCTCTCAGAAAAACGGGAGGGCAGCCTAGGGCCATTCACCTTCCACCCTGTCCCGCTGACCCATGGGAAACTCCTGCTGGCTGCCCCTCTCTGTCCTGTCATGCTTCCGTTCTCCACTCCCCCCAGCCACCATCCAGCTAGCACATGGGCTCATCTGTGCGGCAAATCCAGCCCCAGGGAGAGGAGGGGAAGGGGCCCGCAACCCAGATCTCCACTAACCTCCCTCCCCCCCCTCCCCCTCCCTGGTCTCTGCCTATGAAGACTGAGGAAAGGGGTGCTGGGTGGTGTCTGATGCTCACAAATACCAGCCATCTCATGATAAATCCTGTAGGCAGAGGTGTCCCACCCCAAACTGTTTCCCTCTGTTTTAGAGTGTGAGATACTCAAGACCCTTTTCCTTGGCCCTGAGTCCCGTCATTAATCTGAGCAATGGAAAAGTCCACCCAATATCTGGCAACATATGGTCATAGTCTTTCTCTCCACTCAAATCTAAGATCCGTGAGAGTGGGGCTTTGCGTGCTTTATTCCCCACTGAATCCTTGGTGCCGGAGACAGTGTCAGGCACACAGGTGGTGCTCCACAAACATATAATGAGAAAATGAAGAGGGCTGTCTGAGACCTAAAGGGCACCCAATATGGGCACCCATTTGACAATGGACCAGTCAGTTCCCTTCTTGCTCCTTCCTGCTGTGAGCCTCACAGCCACCGATGCTGATTTTCACTTCCAGCCTCCAGGAGCTTCTCTGGTCTTTGTTTAGCTCTCTACAGGGATTGCTGGCCTGGGAGGGGAGGCTGATGTCCAGGTGAGCGGCCCTGTGAGGCTGAGGGCCTTGGACATGCTACAGGGGCTGGGCTGGGGTCCCCGGAGCTGAGCCAGAGGCCTGACCAAGGGGAAGTGGTGCTCTTCCCAGCTTTCAGTCTTTCAAAGGCAGTAGCTCAGGATGGCTACAGCCCTAACGTGGAGACGTAGGAGAGAAGTGCATTTCTCCTGCAAAGCATGTCCCCTGAGGCTGGCCCACACCTCCTCCGTGACCAGGCCAGAAGCACAGTCTGACCAGAGCATCCTCCAGGGGGGCCCAGGCCTCTGTGAACAAGCTGCCAAGGGCAGCTGCCTCAGCAGGGCTGCTCCACCCCACCCTACCCCACCCCACCGCGCCCGACCCTCTCTGGCTTCCCTCCAGAGCCGGAGGCCAGCCCCTGCCCCCTGGGTCCCTGTGGGTTTGTCCTGAGCAGCCTCAGATGACAGAAAGGGGGAAGTCCCCCGCCCGCAGCACACACGACATAAACACACACGCGCGCCTTGCAGGTCACATGCAGGTGGAAATCTGACAGTACGCGGTTTGGACTGAAAAAAGAAAAAAAAGGGAACTTTTTCTCATTTCATGCCAAGGTGTCCAGGAGGAAGGCAGAGGAAGATGGGAGGTAAAAAGAAGAAATCGGGCATCTGCAGATCCCCGCCCTCAGCCGCGCAAGCAGGCTGGGGGTGTTGCAGCTGGGACATCTCCTCCAAGGGCTGGGAGAAGCCCGGGAGCCCCCCTTCACTCAGGGTCCGGGGTGGGGGGGGCAGGCATTGGAGTTGCGTGGGGGGCGGGGCTTGGGGGCAGGGGAAGAGGAGTGTGCTCTTGAATTTGAGGCTGTTCCGGGTGGCTGGGGCCAGGGGCCCTCACTTTGAGACCAAGGTTACGTCTTGGGAACCCCTCAGCGCGGCAGGAGTGGAGCCCCGGCTTTTGCCCGAAGCAGCTGGGAAGGGACCACCGCAGGGCGCTGCGGGACCGGCCCTGAGCGCGCCGCCCCTTTTCCCCTCCCCGCCCCGCTCCCGCGATCTGCTGTGCTCCGCAGATGCGCCGCCCCGCAAAGCCGTCTCCGGACTAGAATACTTTATTCAAGAGAATCTGGCTTGGCGGTCAGACGCAGTCAGGGGCAGCTGGCTCCACGTCCAGCCTCAATGGACAGGCCCCCTCTTTGCCTGTGTCCCTGAGAGGGGCAGGCGGTGATGCCTTGACCGTAAAGAACAATGTCCCAGCGCGAGCAGTGATTAAGACGTGGAGAGAGACCTAGGGGACAAGCAGGGGCAGAGGCCCCCAGGCAACCGCCGGTCCCCAGAGCGGAGCTTTTGGCCCTGCAGGGAGTCCAGCTGCTGCCAGGCGAGGAAGACACCCCAGGGCTCCTCCACCTGCGGCCTGCCTCCCACCCCCCGCCCCCCAGCCTGGGCCAGGGCTCCAGAGCAGGCCCGTCCACCCCTACGTCGGTCGGCCAGGAGCTCCCGAAGCCAGGGCTGCCTGTGCACGCGGAGCCCCAGGCCCGGGACCCGGCGGCCGTTCCCGCTCCCTTTCCCAGGGCAGGGAAACCCGCTGGGGCCCCGCTGGGCCCTCACGAAGCCGTAGGTCTTGCTCCTTCTCCAGCTGCAGCGCACGTGGGTCTGGGGCTGCCTTCTTTCTCTCACGTTCTGTTTAAGGCACTGAATTCCTGAGGCTCCTGTCCCTCCATGCCCCTCATTGTGGAGGGGGCGAGTCATTCAGCAGGGGTACAGCTGGCTAATAAATAGAGGGCAGGTGTCAGCAGGGAGGTAACTGAGTGTGGCCGTAATAAATACAGGAGCCGGGGGTGAGACGTCTCTCCTCTGAGGGGCAGGTTACCTCCGGGGAACAGTATGGCCGCACCTGCCAGAGACCAAACACAGAGAGGGGGGTATCAGCACCCTGTGAGGGTGAGGGTCCCTCCTATGGGAGGGGGGGGCCAACCTGGAGGGAAAGCTTGGACAGGGAACACAGGGAGACTGCAGCATTCCTGGGTCTCCGCTTGCACCGCAGCCAAGAAGCTAGAAGTCACTCTTCACCAAGCACTTACCCCGGTGCCCAGCCCCGTGCCAAGCACTTTTTCCATTGCCCTTTAACAACTTCCTATGAGGAAGACCCTATTGTCACTTCCCTTCCAAAGACAAAAACAAAAACACCCCAAAACCAACTTAAGGCTCAGAGAGGTTAAGACACTTGCCCAAGGTCACACAGCTAGTCAGTCACAGAGCCAGTCTGGGCTCCACGCAAGAATGCCTCTGGTTACTCTAGAACAGCAGTCCCCTAACGGGGGGGGGGGGGTCTAGGCAACCCTAGATGTGCATGGAGATGGTCCGAGGGGCGTGTGAGTACTGATGGTGCTCAGAGAATGGGTTTGCAGCCTGCACATATCCTCTGCCTGAAGACCATCTGCGTGAGAAAGTGCCTGAGGTCTGCTTTCCCACCGCCTCGCCCACAACTGCCCTGCTCCCTCTGGAAAGGAGAGGAGCATCTTGCCCCTTCCTAAACTGGGTCAGTACTTTGCCCCAGGGTTGAAAGTACTCGGGTGCGGACAGTAAATGAAAAGACAACTTGAGATATTGAGGTAAGTGTTAGGAAAGGAGATAGGGCCCATGACTGGGCCACCAAGGCTTTTACAAGTCAAGTGGTTTCCAAGTCTTCTGCTTTCAACAAAATTGAAGAACAATTTAACGGAATTGTCAGCTACTATGTCAAGAGGAGTGATTTTTTGTTAGCAGATCACCTTGAGGCTTTTGGCAAATAACTTGGAAGGAGTTCAAATGACTGTGTGACATCTAGTCCCATTTATTTATTAATGTGAGCATGGTTCCTCAACCTTTCTAGCTATTAAAAAAATGAGAATGGAATTAATGCTGAATCCTGTCTCAGTCTGGCAAGAGGTAACATTCATTAATGGATTCAAACTAATTAAAAAGAGGTAGCCACCTCCATCTCATTGAGATGCACTCCTGGTAAGATTGATTATACTTTTGTGTTTCGCATTTATTAAAATATGATGTATTTGTGCTGTTTTGATCAATTGGTACTACTAGTAATTATTGTGACGATTTATTCCGGGGGAGAACTTAAGAGTTTTCTGTTCACAGGAAAATGAAAAATCATTCAAATTTATATACGATTGTCATGGCAGATAAATACAATAAGGTGATAGATCAGGGACTTTTGAACATTAAAATGTACTAAGTTAGGCCACTCTGTGCGGGGAATGGAAGGGAAATACAAGGTCAAGGGAAAAAGAAGCAATGTAAACACGCAACCATTAAAGCAGAGTGTTCACATTTCTTTTTTAAAGTGAATGATGAGGGGGCGCCTGGGTGGCTCAGTCGGTTAAGCGTCTGCCTTCAGCTCAGGTCAGGTCCCAGGTTCCTGGGATCCAGTCCTGCATCGGGCTCCCTGCTCGGCAGGGAGTCTGCTTCTCCCTCTGCCTGCCGTTCCCCCTGCTTGTGCTCTCTGTCAAATAAATAAAATCTTTTTGTAAAAAAGAGTGAATGATGGTGAGTATTAGGATAGCTTATCCTGTGGGGTAACGTGGAGGGCATATAATGACTTTACTAAAATATTAACATTTATAACATACCAGAAACGATACCCTTTGCAACTGTTTATAATTTTGATGAAAAAGTTCAGTATCAACTTAAAAATAAGCAAGGGAGCACATGAGTTTTTAAAATTCGTTCAGGAGATTCCCAAATGAGATGTTTGAGCACCACTGTCCCGGCAAATGGAGCAACGTGGCACTTTCGGTCTGGGGCTGCCTGGCAGGGGCTGGGGGAGCCCCACGTTGACTACACCGCTGGCTTCTCCTTCCAGTCTGTGCCTGGGCCCAAGGGAGAAATGAGGGCCACACACTTTCAGGGGACCAACATCCCCAGAATCCTTGTCTTCATGGAATGGGGTTGAAGTCTCCATTCACGGAGGAGACGGCTCATGGGGCAGGACTTGGGTCAGCTCCAGTCCCATGGTATGAAATGATTTCCTGGAGTCTAGCATGGGGAAGAGGCAGGCTCTAAAGGAGAACCACCCTGTGGCTGAATTTCTGTGCCTGTGAAATATTTTTACTATTTACTCTCACAGATTTGGGCTTTCCTGCTCTAATCCTCCCCCAGACACACGCAGGCCTGGGCTCCAGTCTGGGCCTCCAGGTGTGAAGCCAAGATGAGCAGGCAACATTGAGAGGGAAAGAGGAAGCTAGTGGACCCCCAAGGTCCCCTGCATGGGTGGGGAGCAGAGGGGTGGCAAAAATACAGGCCCGGGAGCCGGTTGCGGGGGGTGGGGGGTGGGTTGCACCTCCCTGGGGCCACTAGGAAGTAGGCCTGGGTACGTCTGCAGCTGTCGGACTTTTCACCACTAGTATGAGCAAGTGTGGTGTGGGCCTGTTCACTGAGGTGCCTGGCACACAGTAAGTGCTTCGTAGATGTCTGCAGAATGACTGAGGGCTCCCCTCCTTCTACACATAGAGAGAAATGAGGCCCAGAGAGGTGACATGACTTGCTCGGGGCCATGAAGAGACTCGGGGCTAAACCTGATCACGAACCAAGGTCCCCTGATGCTTCCCGGGCCCTAGATTCTGGAGGAGATGCTGCCTCCCTGTTCTGCCCCCAGGCTGTCCTGGGTCTTGCTTTTCCCTTCCCGACCTGATCCCTGCCGGCAGGGCTGGGGCTCCCCTCTGGCCGGCCTCCTTTTGCCATCCCTGGCCCCCCCCTCCGCACACTCACAGGTGGCAGTCTGTGGGTCTCTGCTTCTCTCTCTTCCTCTTCCCCCTGCCCTTGGGTCTCCTCCTGCAATAAGCCAAAAGCGTCAAGACAAAGTGGCTGGGGGGCCCCCATGCTAGGACAGGGGCCGGCAGGGCCGAAAATAGCCCGGAGCCCCAGCCAGGCCACTTACCTTTCTGGCTTCATCTTCTCCCACAGAGGCCTGGGAAAACAGACAGAGAGACCAGGGGAGAGTCAGGAAACCAGTAAGTGGGGCTCCCGGCCACCCCCACATCTCTCAGACCTCCAGATTCGGGGTCCTGCAGTTAGCGCTGACACCACTAGGGGGCAGGATGAAGCCGGTGAGGGAGGGAAGGCCAGAGGCCTCTGGGCTTCAGCTTCCACGCTAGGCTCTTGTGATCCCACCAAGAGAGAGAGGACTCTCCTCTTGGGGCCCCTTTCCACACCCTTCTGCACTCCTCAGCCTCTTCGCATTAGGTGTGTGGACTTGTGAGTTTGTTCTCTGCGACTTTCTCTGTTCACTTCCTTCCCTTGTACCTGCCTTTCCTCCCAGAGTGCATTGTGGGAGTTTCTGCAAGGACAGGGAGTGAGGGGCAAGGCCCTGGGCTGGAGGATGGCTGCCACCAGCTGAGGCTCTGCCTGGCAGGGCACAACCGCCACCCCCACCCTGGGGATGTATGTCGCTGCAGGCAACAGCAGGGGGAGTGCGTGAGGGGGTGGAATGAAGGGAGGTGAGCGCGAGCCCCACAGTCACCAGGCATGCCCTGGCTCAGCCTGCGGGGCTGTGGCTGGTGGCCCAGAAGTGAGAAGAAAGGTGTCCCTGTTGCCCAGCCCATTGGAAGGGGACAGGGCCTCAGTCTCCCCTGGGAACAGGGTGGGGGCGTGGGCAGTGTGGTAACAGTCCGCTTTGGCGCCAGGGAATGCTGCCCTGGGTATCTCCCCTGGGAGCCAGCACGGGGCACGGCCTGGGCCAGTCAGGGCCTCTTGGACTGCCTGGTCATGTCTCTGCCATCTTGGGCCCGTAAGAGACACTCTTGGAGCCTCAGTCTCCCCAGTCTGCCTGCCCCAAAAGAGTGGTTGTGAGGGCAAAGGTGATATAGAAGGTGAAGGGTCACTGAGTGGCCCTGGGCCCGGGAGGGCTCCCTACTGAACTATTGTTACATGGCTAAGCCCTGGCCAGGACGGAAGGGAGGAAATGGATTAAAGCAGGGCCTCCAACAGAGGTACAGTGAAGAGGGCCTAGAGCTTGGGCTCAGGTCCAAAAGGGGTGGCCAGAGCCCTGGACAGTAGGCAGGGCAAGGCCAGGGCAGTGCTGGCTCTCCTGAAGAAGCACGAGAAAGGGCAGGCTCAGGCGTTAGATAGGCGGGGGTTCACTCACTAGCTGTGGCAAATAATTTAACTGTTCCAAGCCTCAGTTTCCTCATCTGTAAAATGGGGACAACAATAGTACCGACTACCTCACAGGGTTGTTACCAGATGAGGGACCTTGTCTGCCTTCTCACTGCTGTATTTAAGCATCTGGGACAGCGCCCTGGCATACAGTAGGCAGTCAATAAATGTTTGTTGAATAACTGAGAAAACGTTTAAGGGCCTTGTGTGGGGCTAGGCAGAGAAGAGGTGCACACGATAAATAGTGGTCCTCCCCCTGTCTTCTGGCCCCAGGACAGAGCTCAGGACGTCTAGTCCGGTGCCTCCATCCATGGCCCAGGGCTACCAGGAGAGTACCAGGTTCCAGCCCATCTCTCTCCTCCCTGAGCCCGGTTAAAGTGCCAGGCCTGCTAGTGCTGGTAAATAATGTTCAGGGTGCCCTGGGCAAAGGTGGCAAGACCGGTGCTGGGCAGAGTCTCCACCAGGTAGAGGCATGACTTTAAAGAAAGCCCACTGACTCCTTCTTTCTGCTGCTTTTCTCCTGCCGAGCTCATCCCTCCGCCGGGGAGCCAGCTGGGCCCAGAACGAAGCCCAGGCTAGCAATGCCTTTGCCCCACACACCTTTTCCAAGGCTGTGGCAGCTCCCTCCCATCTCAGGGAGGGGGACAGCGTGCCTCCTGCCCCTGCACGTCTAGGAGGGACCCAGGCTTCCGCTGCCCCTAGGTGTCTGGGGCAGCTGTGCTCCAGCTGATGGGACCCCTTCCCCAGGCCAACCTGGCCCATGAGGGGGATAAAAGGCAGCTGCCGCTGCTCCCCAACTTCCTTGGTTTCTCTCGGCAGGAGGAAGGTGCAGGAGGGATGGGCAGCCGCTCGGCTGAGGTTGCCAAGTACGAAGGGCCTGTCCCAGCCGCTCCCTGAGGACCTACCTGCACTCGCAACGGATGTGCTGAGAGAATGTCAGCTCCACGTAGGAGGGCCGGTCCTCAGAGTGGATCTTCAGGAGCTTCAGGGAGAGAAGGGTTTGATGCCTGGATTGGGGGATGGCTGTGGGTTTCCAATATTCTCTCCACCCTCTCCTTTCCAGGAGGGCCAGACTCCTTGTTTCCCGCCAGCCTTTGGATGGCGTACTCTCATTCTGCTCTGAGTGGGGGGCAAACAGCCCTCGCACCTGTGTGGGGGTCTGGGGGAGGTCCTGCCCTAGAGTCAGAGAGACCTGTATGCCATCTTGGTTCTTCTACCTGCTGAGCAAGTGAAAGAGCAGCTCTGACCCTCAAGCTCTTCCTCGGTGCAATGTAAGAAACACTTGCCTTGAGGGATTGAATGTTGAGGTAACAGAAGTCACATTTATGAAGCGCCTTGCACAGGGCTCGGCCTCACTAGCAAGGGCTCAATAAACCAGAGTGTGTGTACGTGCGCGCGCACGCACGCGTGTGTGTGTGTGTGTGTGTGTACATGAGCGCAGAGCCCAGGGTGTCAAATGCTCCTGGTGCACACACACAGGGACTTCTTGAACCCGAACAGACTTCTTTTTCCAAGCTCAACCGGATATCCTTGGGTCTCAGGGTGGGACCTGGCTAGAGCCCGGGAAAGCTGGTACCGCAGGACGTGAGTGGGCCCCACACTGGACCGGGGCGGGGGTGGCGTGCAGGGGGAGCGCGGCACCGTGGCGGGGGCGGGGGGCGGGGAGAGCCCGGGGCCCGGGAGTCCGTTCCAGTCCCCGTGATCGGGACCGCGGCCTGCCCGCCTCCCGGCCCGGGCGCCTACCTGCATGGTAACATTGACGGTCTCTGCGGGTACACAGTGCAGATTCTCGTCACCACAGCACCCGGCGCAGCGCAGCAGGGAGACGCAGGATGGGCTGAACATGTGCTCCACCTCGCCGGGGTACTCTGACACGATGTCCACCAACCTCTCCAGTGCCCGGCAGTAGCTGCGGCCCCACACCTCCTGGAAGGGCACCACTACAAGGAGGCACACACGGCCAGGTCGGGCCCCAGTCCCTGCTCCCCAGGCCCTGCAGGCCCTTGCAGGTTCAGCCCACGCTCCCTCCTCCAGGAAGCCCCCAGCCTCTGTGAGCTCCCTATGCTCCGAACCCCTGACACGAGGCCTCTGGGGTGACTGCCAGCCACGCAGCTCATCTGCTGCACAGAAATCCCAGAGCCGTGGAGTTGCTCCGTGTCCGGGCTCTCCACTCTGTTCTCTGCGTAGGCACCCACGTCGGCTTTGCTGCCCTTGGAGCTTGGAGGAGCGTGTCTTGGCAGCTCCTCAGGCCCTCAGGGTCTTTCTCAGGCCTGATCGAGTGCTTTTTCGATCGTGGGGAATTTGCAGAAAGCAGTCAGTTCAGCATGACTGGCTTGTAGAGTCCCACAGGAAGGGTTAGCCTTCCCCTTAGTCCTCATTTTCTGCCCCGCTCTGAGCCAGCTCCTCTACCTGGCAGCCAAGGCCACAGCCAGCAATGTGTCCCGAACCCACTCTCCGTATCCACCACCCTCACACCATGCCCGGCTGCATCACTGTAACTCCCACCTTTGGGATATGCTCCGTGTCCCCTTCCCTTTTCTAACCAAATAAAGCCCACCACCCCACCTCCTCTCTGAAGCCTTCCCCAACTTCCCTGGTCTGAACAATGTTCCTCCTTGCAGCAGAATTTGGCCCCTAGGGCTTTGCCCTATCTCGGCCACTAGGAGATCTTATCTCTTCTACAACCAAGTCGAGGCTCTGTGAGGACAGGAGCCCAAGCACCATGGGGAACACAGGCTAAGTAATGACTGATTGGTTAGATGATAGTTCACTGAGACTTATCACAGACACCCCCGACCCCTTCCAGGTCCTGGCGTGGTCATGACCAGGATCTCGTGCGGGCTGATCTGGAATCTCTCAAAAGATGCTGCTCCTTCAGGGAAAGGCCTGGGGCCTGGTCCCAAACAGAGGCTCATAAGAAGTGAGTAGCCAGAGCTAGGAGACCTGGCTTCTAGTCCTGGCCCTATCCTGGGCTGTATGACCTTGGGGAGGTCACTTAACCTTTCTGGGTACATCAGTTTCCTCAGCCAGGGGAAAACAAAAAGGTTGGGACTAGATGGTTGCTAAGGCCTCTCTCAGCTCTGACGGTCTGGGATTCTGTGCGCGCAGCCCTGCCCAGTCTTGAGACTGTGGGCAGAGAGACCTCTCCCACACTGGGTCGTCCTGCTCTATACCTGACCGCTGTCCTCAGCTGATGGGCGAGGATAGGGCAGCTGGATCACCTGGGGACCCCACAGCCTCTGTCCCAGAGCCGTGGCCTCTCCTGACAGCCCCTCACTTCTCCCCCTGGCCTTTCCTAAGAGACAGAAGGGGCCAAAGTCCATTCCACTGGGCCTGCAATGCCTAGTCTCAGGGTAATCTTAGAGAAAAAATAAACTTCAGCCCTAACAGAGGCCCTCTGGAAAGGGCTGCAAGCTGGTGGAAAATACCCAAGAGGTGGTGTGTCCCCGTGGAGCTGGCCAAGGCAGCCACAGAGGCAATAAACCATGCTTATCTGGGTGTCTGCCGCTCCATTCTGCCCTGTCTGCTTAGGGGGTACTAGGGGCTGGGCCTGGGGACCCGCGGGGTGCCAGATGCCTCCCCTGGTCCCACCTCTCCAGGCCACAGGGATACTCTCCCTGGACCCAAGTGAGAAACAAGCCCCTCTCCCTGTGAGCAGCCACGGTGCCCTGGGGAAGCCAGCCTGTGCGGTGCGAGGCTTTAGGAGCCCGTCCCTGTTGTAACTGCAGGAGCGTGTGTTCAGTCTGAAATCCACGAGCACTGTGGAACTCGGAGTGTTTAATCTCCCCCACGGACAACACAAATAACAGCAGAGGGACAGCCAGCTGCCAAAGCGCCATGGAAAGCTCAGGCCCCTGCTCTGGGACCAGCCATGGGGGGGGGGAGGCGGTAAGCAGCAGAAAAGGGGCACCTCAACCCCCTCCCATTCCCCACACGGACCCCCACCCAGCTGGTCAAGTGGAGCTGCCTGGGTTTGGTGGCAGAATGGATCTCCTTTCCTCACCCCACACCCCGCCATGCTCCAGGGCCCCGGGATCTGCCACTTTGTGGGCCACATGGCCAGACCGTGTGCGGAGGAAGAGGGGGAGAGGGCCAAGAAGGAGGCGGGCTGGGCCCGGTTTACCTGGCGGCCCCCAAGAAAGAGGGCAATTCATCCCTGGAGGCCACAGTCTGGGCATGTGGGAGAAACAGAGTGGGCTGTGAGGGGCTGGCTCCCAGAGCACGGGGGCTGCTCCCAGATGGAGGCGGAGCCCCTCGGGAGAGAACTCTGCTCAGCAGCTCCTGAGAGCACTTCCTCTGGCCCCAGACCTGCCCCAGAGGCAGGGTGAGGTAAGAGGAACTGGAGGCCGTGGCTCCATCAGGCATCTGGCCGGGGCTGGCCAGTCCCACAGGCTGCTGCCGGGGCCTCAAATGGGCTCTCCGCAATCTCTCACCAGCTCCAGGGGCAAGCCTCCCATCCCGCTCCAGCTGCCTACTACCCAGGACAGAGGAATCGAAGGAAGGGAAGTGTTTAATCCTGAGAGCAAGCTCCTAGGGAGGGGCCACAGGGCTGGGCGGAGCCACTGGCCACCAGGCTGGGTTCAGCAGGTGTCCCCTCCATGGCACTGGCAGGGCACACAGCCAGCCTGCCGAAAGGGACATCCTGCTCATGCTTGCTCAGTCGTGAGCCACGGGGAGGCCTGGTGCTATGCACACCGACTTTGCCACATATACTGAGGTGCGTCTGAGGCTTTAGGAGACCCCAAGGGCCTCTCTGAGCCTCCGGTTCTCCTTCTATAAAAGGTAGAGCATACGAATGCCCTCCCAGGTCACAGCCTGTGGGCAGCTCAGAATTGCAGTAAATGCCCAATGCTAGTACCATGAATAGTAATAGTAAAAATCAATGTCTATGGCTGCAAAGTACAGAGCATGCTGTCTCTTGTCTGGTGTTAGCGAGAGGGGATGGCATTTCCATATTGTGGTGACTGCGGTCCCAAACTCATGGTACTTGCCCTGGCCACAATACAGATCCCTGACTGACTGGGATGACAGGTGAGCTCCCCTAATGAACTGACATGTCTAAGCCTCCTCACCCCTGTCCCTGGGAGACATATACTCCTGTGTCTCCTCCACGGAGTCAGAGAAGCGCACAATCTTAGAAAAAGAACCTTGGATATCATGTGATCTAATATTCCCATTTTACAGTTGAGGAAACGGAGGCTCAGACTTCTTTGGTAACTGTTGCCTGAAATACACTAAAAGCATCAAAGAGGCCATGGGGTGGAGATGGCTGATGGGCCCCTCCCCAAATCCCGAGAGCATGATATTGTGCCAGTCCCAGGGGCACAACAGGGAGAGGGGGAGAGTGTCAGTGAAGTTAAGGGCTGCTACCTCCCCCGCCTTCTCAGTGCACGAGGGGCCTGGGACTCCGTGCCCGAGGGGCCTGGGACTCCGTGCCC